TACTTACAGACTTGTTTTTTACCTGGATAATATAGCAATATTAGTTTGGTGGGTGGTATTTTTTTTTTCCTCCAGCCTAACTTGAAAAGATAAACCCCTGTGGCTTATGTCATTTCTCTGTGAAATGCTTGTCTTAGGCAATTGTTACATTTTAGTGCAAGTAACAGAATTCCTTCTTGTATCAGTTGCCTCAAATAGCTTATTTGTCTCTTTTGAAAACGTTCCTTCCTCTCCATTCCTCTGGCTAATACTTCTCCACAGCTACCTGGTAGCACTCATTTGCAAGCCACCTACCATTGCTGTTAGTGCAATCAGTGGTTTGTTTCTGCTCCTAATTCTTGGACAGCATATTCTCTGCAGCCTAACTTGAAAAGAAACAGCCCCTGTGGCTTATGTTAGTTCTCTGTGAAATGCTTGTCTTGGGCAACTGTTACATTTTAGTGCAAGTAACGGAATTCCTTCTCATATCAATTGCCTCAAATAGCTTATTTGTCTCTCTTGAAAATGTTCCTTCCTTGCTATTCCTCTGGCTAATGCTTCCCCACAGCTACCTGGTAGCATTCATTTGCAAGCCACCTACCATTGCTGTTAGTGCAATCAGTGGTTTGTTTCTGCTCCTAATTCTTGGACAGCATAGCAAAATAACTGTGAAAGTATTGGCAGGCCAGGCCTTTCTAGGGGAAAACAATCTGAATCTGGTCCCTCTTCAGGGAGGATTTAGCTAACATGGCTGTTTTTGCTGCCTCATCCTGAAGTAGGATTCAAATTATAGCAGTGCAACAACTAATTCAGAATAATTCCATTATGTACATTTTAATTGTGCCATCTACGCAGGACTCATGTCCTTTCTGTTCTGTAAGTGGTCTATAGTAATCATGCAGACTGACTTTGTTGCTAAAGAGGCCTCATTCTTCTGTCTCTCAGGTTTTTCTACCTGGCTTCTTGTCCAGCAACCTGTATTACAAATACTTGAATGATCTCATCCATTCAGTACGAGGAGATGAATTTCCAGGGGGAAATATTGCACAGAGTATTCAGGGCCCTGGTAACAATCCTGATAGCGACTCTCAGATGGGAGCCCCCGATGGCTCTGCTTCCCAGGTAGGAGTTTCTTGTTTTGATTCTATTTGAATAAATAGTGCGGTTTATTTAAATAGAGAAAGAAAATAGAGAAAAGCATCCTTTTCTCTATTGCAATCAGAGTTTGTACCTGTTGAGGAAACATCATCTTGTAGTTTTAAGCTTCCCATTTCACTTTAGGACACATTTAATCTACTCTCTATTGATTTCAAGTAAATGGTATTTGGCATAGAAGTTATTTATTGTATTTTCTGTACCTAAAGTCTTTTACCACTTTTACTAAAAATAGAACTTTTGATTGAAGGAAATAAGCTATTAATATTAGCTAAAGACTGCTTTGTAGTGCTGTAACACTTTTCATTAATACTTTTAATACTTTCATTAATACTTACATTAATACTTTTCACTTTTCATTAATACTTTTTTCATTAATACTTTTCATTAGAAATAAGTTTGTTGTTTTGTGCTTTAATAGTATATTCTTGGGCAAAAGTTACACCGTTAGGCAAAAATAGACATTGTGAATGTGCTGTAGAATTTAAATACAAGTATGCAAATTGTGCACTCAGTTTTTCGAAGCCACAGACCTAAAGCCCTAGAACTGAGTGGACAGAAGCCCTAGAACTTCAGGACAGAAGTCCTCTACTCATGCACAGAGCAATGACATTAGTGCCTGGCCAGCTGGTATTTGTATGCTTGTCTCAGTAGATCTTTCCATGCAGTAGTCCTCAAGCTAGTTAGTCATGTCAGTCTGATAGAAAATGGTCAGATTCCTGACTTTCCGAAAAGGGAGATGCAGCATTCCAGGGCAGTATCCAGATTTTGTTTGCCTACGTGCATTTGTTGCCAAGCTGGGAATAAAGACTTAAATACCCTTTTCTGGGTAAAGCAGAGAGCTTTCTAATCATTCCTTAAGCATGACTAGAGCTGTGCTGTGTAGAAATGAGTGTGTAACTGAGCCCCTTTGGCTCTGCTACGTTGCAGTGTCATGGAGAGGTGGCCGCTGCGTGGTTCTCTGGTCACAAACCAGCATCCTTAATCGTGGGGGGAGAAAATCTGGGTACTATCTTGGAAAAATCCCGATGCCTGATAGCCTGAACAGGGAAAAGCTGTGGGGATTTGGCTTGTTTGGAGTGCTGAGGAGCAAAGTGCTGCGTTTTTGTGCTCTGCATTCCTGATTATCTGCAGAAAGGTCACTGGGTCTTGGTGAGTTTTTGCCCCGCAGCAGAGGACTGCACAAGGCAGCTCCGTTAGTGCCTCTGTTCCTAGCTCAGGTCACTCTCCTTTAGTGATCTCCCTGCTGTTGCTCAAATGTTTTCTTGTATTTTTTCATAATCTTACCCAAATGCTGTGCCAAAAGGTAAAGGCCTGTTCTCTGTGTGGGGAGCACAGTGTGTTGCATGGGAGCTGCTTACCCAGTACTCAGCAGGGACAAGTGCAGCTGCTGCTGCTTTGGGGGTAGCTCAGTGTTAATGCTCCCAGAAGCAAATAATTTGCAAGTGCTCACACATCTATTCCACTGATAATGCTTAGAGAGCAGTCTCTACATAAGATGTATGCTGACCTGTACGTTGTGTGTTTGGCTCTGTTCATGTAACTTTCTCATCCTCTGTTTAAAAACAACGTCATACCGAGTTAGGAATTCATCATTCGTGTAGGTGTCTCTTAATTTGTTTATGCTTGCATAGACACTTCAGAGATTTATCAAACTGTAAAAAGCACTAAAATAGTTTTGTTAAGAAGCTACTAGTTGTCTGCATTGGGCACTAATATTTAGAATTTTTGTTTGTAGTCCAATGTCAAAAAGGCTAATGTTAAAATCCTGAAAAATTTTGATGAAGCAATAATTGTAGATGCTGCAAGTCTGGATCCAGAATCCTTATATCAACGAACTTATGCAGGGTAAGGTTCATTCTGTGTATCTCATTCTTTCCAGTGTTTCACCTTTGTTTCATTTTTGTTGTGCCCTTTTGCATTGAGAGTGCATAATACAAGATGTTGCAATCTTAGCACATGTCTTAATGCTTGAAAGTAATTTTTTTTTTTCTTTCAAATAGTGCAATTTAATACCAATGTCATGGTGAACGATTTTCTGATGAGAACAACAGAAGAAAATTAAAAATGTTCCCAATTGTTTTTCTCCTAGAAACCTTACTCTTCTCTGGCTCCAAAATCTAACTAGTATTCCTAGTTTCCAAATTTCCTGTTTGGAATATGAAAGATCAAGCTTGGAAGACTTTGATACTGGAATACAGCATTGATTTCTCCCTACTCCCATATAAAGAAGAGCCTGTACTTCACTTTGCTAGCAGACTGCGCAGGCTTCTATTTAAGTTGCTCTTTGATATGAAGCTCTTCTGCTCTCTGGATCTCAAACAGGAATTCTTTGTTTCTCTAGCTGCCTGGCTTTCCTACTGCATACCAGTGTGCTGAGCTTTCAAGCACTGCAGATTGGTTGTTCCCTGGTGAAATGTTCCTGTGATGCTGTAGAGCACTTGGAGTATTCCAGGATTGAGGCATTGAAGTGCTTGGCTACTTTCAGGTTCTAGAAATGTCTTTAAGATATACTTAGAATTCAAATAAACAAGAAGAGTGGGAAACTCTTCCGCATATATCAATCTTAAGTAGAAAAGGTGATGATTGGTAAAATGCCAGTCTTCTAGTGCTAGAGTCTCCATGGTAGTGAGGTTTGTTTGTTTGTTCTCTTGATTGATAACTTTCTGTAATGCAGTAGTTTTCCTGGTAACCTGGGTGTCTTATTTCTTCTCTCTCCAGGAAGATGACATTTGGGCGAGTCAGTGACCTGGGACAGTTCATCAGAGAATCTGAACCAGAGCCTGATGTCAAGAAATCCAAAGGTTTGCTTTCCTTTCCTCTCTGTTTCTGAAAACACCTGCAGAACTGCCCTTTTCCTCACTTCAGACAGGATGAACAAAACTCCTGGCTCTTCCCAGATCTGTCTTAAGCCAGAGGTGCTTAAGGCAAAACTCCTCTCTGACCTATTTCCATATCCAGTGTGCTCCTATGGGAGCTAGAGCTGTCGATGGCACCTGGCAGGGATGAAAGCTGTGGGCAGCTGGGCTGATGGTCAAACTTCTAAGAGTTTGAGGTCAAGATGAAAAAAACTTCAGCACTCTGCATGCTTCCTACACACTAGGAGATCTGTTAATGCTGCTTTTCAGTCTGCTTGCTGGGAAAGAATGGTATGGGCTCAGCTCCTAGTAAACCACAAATCTTGGTAATATCTTGTCTTTGGGACACTCTTCTGTATTCTCTAACCCTAGCAATGCAAACCCTTCAGGACAGAAGCAAGTATGTGTGTGTAGAGAAGAGAAATGAGATGTGCTGTTGAGTTTGCTAATATTCCTTGTGTGTCTCAACTAGGGTCCATGTTTTCACAAGCAATGAAGAAATGGGTTCAAGGAAACACGGATGAGGTGTGTCCTTTTTATGCTATCCTTGTGACTTACCTCAGGGTGGGGAAGTGTTCAAGTTCTTAATCCTGGCCCTTTTCTCTGAGTGTCTTTCTGATGCTCAGACCAACCAGAGCTCTCAGTCTCTGCTTGCCAAATACAATTGAATTGCATGCACTTGTGAAACCAGCTTGTTCTTTGCCAAGAAGCACTTTGCCAAAGACCTGCTGTTTTAACTAATGTAATGGATAACTGTCTGTTAGTTGTTAGGATAATCTAGTTAGGGGTAGGGTAGTGGTTTTTTTTCTTTTTTTTTCTTTTTTTTTCTCTCTCCCTTTAAGAGAAGTAATCTGCAAATAAGAGTGGATGTACTATTGTTTTTTATTTGTTTGTTTCTTACTGTGAAATGAGTCACATGTGGGTTTAAAGGCTGTTTTTTCCCTTCAGACTAAAAGATAAGTCTGAAGACTTTGCTTGACTCTCTTGGAAACTGGATCAAACTATAAATACTCCATTAACTAAAGCTAATGTGCTTGGGACTTGGAAACCCACTGCATTTTCATGGTGTTTACTACAAGTCAGAGTTGTGAAGGTTCATCGTGTCTGAAAGGTTTATTTGTGGGTGATGCTGAGAGCACTGTGTGGTATTTTTAAGCTCTTCAGCCTCCCTGCATTTGGGATGTGTTATTTTTCCTCTGGCAGGCTCAAGAGGAGATGGCTTGGAGGATAGCGAAGATGATAGTCAATGATGTGATGCAGCAGGCACAATGTGAGCAGCATGCGGAGAAGGTTACAAAGGTAAGAAGGTAGAAAGGCTACACTGCAGGGTCAACACTGTAATTTCTTATTTGAGTTTATCCTTGCTGTTTCATGTTGGTAAGTACTAGCCCATTTGTGTAAAGTATCATAAAACTTAAGAGCTAGAAAGTTGTCTTGTGGTGCTGTGCCTGTCATTTAAAAGAGCTCGGGCAGCCCTGTTGGTGGACTAGCACATTGGCATTGCACATGGATGTGTTTAGTGACTTTGTTGTACAGGTCCGTGTTAGGGAACAGCTGTGATGCAGACTTACATTTTGTTACATTTTGTGAAATCACAAAGATGCCCATTTAGAGTTGGTATCTGGTGCTTCTGGCTTTCAGACACCTCTAACATCAGTTACCAAAGAGCAAACAAACAAAAAACTTGCACTTTTTTAATTAAGGAAAGTAAACATGTACCAAAGCTCAGTGACAGGCCTGGACTGCCAGATCCATAATTTCACTATGCAACTGCTTTCCCCTTTCTAGAGCAGTTCTGTTAAAAAGACTTATGTAGTAATTTCACTTAATAGCTTCTCTGCAAATGATATTCCAATCCGGCTAGTTGAAAAGGTCACTCAGCACAGGATTTAGAAATACCAAGTGGCTGCACATACTCCCTATTCAATGAGGCAAATAGAGCTTCAGTAATGGAAAGATTGAAGTTTGTGGGTTGTGGCTGGGGAGAAGGGCAGGTGTTTGGGGTTTTTTTTCTTGTTCTCCTGTGCACATCAGCTAACCTGGCTTTAAACACTTGCAAACACAAAATGTCTTTCTACTGAGTGACTGTCTTCCATGTTTTAGGGGAAAATGAATTCTAACCCTATCTTTCCTTTTCCAGCTATGATTTTAAATGCCAGAACAGGAAATCTAATTTTCTGCTTTGAAAATGAGTGAACTTTCCTGTTTGGTGGATTCTTTAACACAGCCAATAAAAGCAAAGCACTGTTACTACATACGCCGGTATCTCCCTCATTTATAAGGAAGAATTAAAAAGAAGCAATCCTGTACCTCCACCGTAGAGAGCCAAGAAACACTTTGTCCTGTTGTGTACGGCATTCACAATAATGTTGGTTTGTAAGAGAGATGAAGACACAGTTTATGAACGTGTCACTGAGAAACTGTGATCAACTTCACAAATACTTGACCCTGTCAAAAAGACTCTTAAGCAAAATATCTGGAAGGGGACACAGGCCACACGAAGGCGGGGAAGGTTTTGCTGTAGTTTCTAGTTCTACTACTTGTAATTTTTAAACACATAATTGCAAAGGCCGTGGGGATATCTCCCTGACACCTGACCACTGGAGAAGTGAACCTGAAGCCGCAAGTTCATTGGCAGTGAATGACCTTAAAAGTTCTAAGTTTTATTTTTCCTTACTTGAAATAGCTGAGTATTCAACTGTAAGATAAATGTATTTTACTTCATAATTACATTAACGTTGAAGGGAGCGTAGAACGATGAGGAGTGAAGCCTGGACAGTTTAACTCTTCCTTGTCAAGCGCTTACACATGTGTAAACACCCACGTTGTCCTCGCTAACAGCAGGGACTCGCACACTGATCTCACCCTTGTGTGGCCCCTGTTCCTGCACCCTTTCCCCAACACAGCCTCTGTTTTGGGGAGATTATACCCATACTCTGATCCATTTTCTTCCTCATTCTACAAAACCAAGGAAAAATTAGCTGCTGCCATCTATTACTGCCCTTCTCCACAGCTTGTTGTCCTCCAGCCAAGCTAGCATCTACTTCCAGATGGTTGGTTTATAAAGAAAAATAACTTTTAATGGCCTCTGGCTTATTTTCCCTGATATTGATAACACTTGAAACTTGTGTAACCTTTAATTTAAGTAAAAAGTCACTGTGTGCCACAGCGCCTCTATGAATTGATTTTGCAGTCTCTGAAGTACGTGTTGTGTCACTCCATTATGTTATTGCTACATTTTTAGTATACAACACTTCTATTTTTTTATTTTGCTCTTATGATTGTTCTTTTCCTCAAACTTGTGCAAAAAAAAAATCACTTTATAACAAACTCAATCATCTCTAATGTTCAAGCTGTGTTGATTGACTAGCAAGAGTTATTCTGTTGCAATATTTGATTGTATAGAGACACACTGTATTATCTATGAAAAGCAAAAAGGCTGTGTATAGGTTTTTGGTACTATGTACCACTTCTTATTTCTCTCATGCCCAAGTATTCATGTACTTAAAACATACTCTATTTAATTGTGTTTTGATTTAAAATATATGAATATTAAAATTTGTGTCTGTTTTCTGTTGTGAGAGGGACCTTGGAGGTGCATAAAGGAAGGAGCCCCCTGAAACGGCCGTGCTCGGTGCGCTGCAGCCTCTCGTGCTGTCGCTGAAGTG